TGAGCATTGTCTGAACTGCTCGTGGACCTCCGCTAGGCCAACTCAGCCTCAAATGAGTACCTGGTGCTGTGTGCAAGCATCGCTACTGGGGAGACAAAGGCAGTCAGGCGTGGTGCTGGCTACCCACCCCCTCGTGTGCTGTTCCGGCCTTCATAGGTGCTACTCACTAACAGCACTTGCCTCAACAGTCTGTTAAGGCTATACGGGGGATCTTTGTCTTTGTATGTTGGTGAATCTCATCCTCGGTGGCCACTTTGACACCGCTAGTCGTGGTCCTCGCATGCGGAGGACTGCTCGTGCGGTTATTTCAGCTGACAATGACGGTACAATTTATTTGTCAGTGTGCCTGAGATGCTGCTACAACCACCGATTAAAACCAAAAAAACATGGGTAACGGGGGCGAGACTTTTAATTGAAAATAAAATAGAGATAACGAATGCTCTTAAGGAGTGTTCCAAAGCCGTTTTTCACATTCTGTCATTACGTCTTTGTATCTGTCTGTTTGTTTGGACAAAGAGATCTCGGTTATTAAAGAAAGTAGGACGGTGATCTTTGTGTCAACGTGCAGCTGGTGACGTGGGGATGTGTTTGGCTACATACACTATGTACACACATTACAGAGTGAGGCATCAGTTGAAACACATTGACCTCGCAATCAGGCGGTTTGCGAGTTCAAATCCTTGTTGGGGTTCGACTCTTATCTTGTTTCATGTTTAAAGAGTGCCTTAAGGCAAGGCGCTTCACAGGTTTAGAAAGCGGTAACAAAAATAGAGTGATTTAGATGGCAGGGCCCCATCAGTATACAACCACCGATTTGTGAAAAGCTAAACAAAATTTTCCACGAAGAAACTCATCAACTCCATATAAATGTGGAATTCACAAAATTGTCTGAGCTAAACTAGTTTATACAACATATATATTTTAAAAATAATAATACCCCAGGTCTCCCTTTCAAAAGATACGCGATGTTTGTTGGCTCTTGCCTGTTCTAAATAAAGCCACGGCTCCTGCCACACGTTTGTAAACATTGTGAGATATGACAGTCCTTGGACGTTGTGTTGACTCTGCAACAACCGAGGGTTCAAAGAGTCTCAGAATATTTGGAATGATATAGTGCAAGATAAATAAATGTTATTAAGGAAGAAAACGATGGCATCAGCAGCATTGGCCGTGATGACCTCTGGACCTTGACTTAGCAATGTCCCACCCTTGGTTCGAAATATCTATAGGGGGAGTGGCGGCACAGGAGTTAGCGCACTGTGCAATGAATCCTGCGAGGTGAATTTGATTTCCTAGCCACCGTTGAGCTAACATCGCGGTGAATGTCATCTGAACCAGCTCTGGCCCACCCCCCATTCTCAAAATCTGTACTGACCATTGTGGTGAAGTATGGTCAAACAACCCCCATGACTGACAATGGTGTGGGGGAGGACTTTATCCAGCAGTGGAATTGACAACGGGCTGCAAATAATAATGACACAAATAGTTAACCGATTGTTTGTATGAACGCGACTTAATTCACACGTGACATTCTACTCCATTAAACACAACGAAAATACGTTTCTTCAAACGTATTAATTGGGAATGATAAAAAGCGTTCGTTTGATTTGTGCAGTGGAATATACAACGTAGATAATCCGTAAGGAGCAATGTGATTCCAATAGTGTGCAGGGTTTCTCGTTAATAATTAAGCACCGATAGTGTCACAAGGACCACCAGGCACCACATCACCTTTATAATTATCCCTCCGCTATATTTAGATGAAAAGGGAATGGGTAATAATAGAACCCTTGGCTTTGGAACATTTAGAACAATTTTTTGGTCTGTCTTTTGGCGTATCGCTAATGTAACCGAGCCGTGATTGCGTTCATAAATAATGCCCATTTTCGTTTAAGGGGTATGACATTTTACGGACGATAATGTCCTTAATGAAATGGAACGCCGTACACATCAACGCACAAAGTGACACAAACATACACACACACCAACATACGCGCATCATACATTCACTCAAACATCCTTGATCAATGTTGAAACGCAGTGCTGTTAGCGAGGACATATCATGTCCAGCACGGCCCATGCAGGGATGTTATAGCCACCGCTATGCCTGGCGACCTGTGTCTGCGTAACACTGATGTTAATCTGCCACGTGCTAATGCAGAGTTAACGTAGCAGAGGCCAGGACTGGGTTAAGTGTGACTTGACCGCCTGATGTTGTGCAAGGCCAGGGATTGAACCTGGCTCATGGGATCATATCGCAGTGTGTGAACCACTGCACCACCAATCCCCACACAAAAAAAGGCAGCTGTGGCAAGTGGCAATTGCTGCTAGCGAGTAGCGCCTACGAAGGCTGGCACGGCCCACAACGGGTGAGGGGGCCAGCACCACACACTCGCCCCGTTGGTTTCCCCGGTGCTGACGATAACGCACCGCCACACCAGGTACTCACTTAACACTCAGTCGGCCTATAGGAGAGGCCCAGGACCTGTTCAGATATTGGTCACTGATGTTGAGAGTGAGCGGGAATCGAACTCGGGGCGCCGGGTTCGAAGCGCGGTGTCTGCTAACCGCTACGTCACCCACGCTTAACGTAATCAATGCCAACGGGAAGGCTACTAACTTATCTAACATTCATGCCAGGCTAAGTGCGACATACAGTGCCCTTATTTAAGCTTAAAGTAAAAGTGTGCGGTATCAATCGGAATCATGTTTGCATATGAGCGGTGCGTGGGCTCGGGAAAGGCTCTCGCTCGCTCCGAGCGAGTGAATGAGTTCCGCCGCTCAGACGCAGCTGGTGCCTCCGCTTTGTCGGGTGGTGCGTTCAAGCAGCCGCGGTCGCACAACCGAGCGTTACTGCTGCGGAGCAGACAAAAGGCTGTCTTCCTTTTTCCGACGGCTATTTGGGACGGGCGCCTATTGCGTCGTCGGGGCAGAACGCGTGCCGCCGCCGCCGCGTTTGTCTCCCCGCCGGCGTTCACGCAATGTACCGGTGCCGGTGCTTTAGCGCAGATTGTGGCAGCTGGGAATGAGGATCGCGTGACCTTTTGTTACTTTTACTCCTACTGCAGTATCTTGGAGAAAAAAACAAAACTCTCAATCAACCGGGCACGGCAAGGTGAGCGTCTCAATCGCTCCTTGGCTCCAGCTACTCTTCAACAGCACCATCGCCGCTGACGTTCACACATTCCTGTGATTGCTTCCCACCTCCTGACAGATCCTGTAGTTGCATGAAAGCAGCAATTTGCTCTCCAAACTCCAGACTTAAAGTTTACTCCTTTCTGGCATCAGTGGTCCTACTTTGTCCCGTGTGCGGAGAAACCGCCGCAATGCCTTCACTGGTATTCTGCTCTTCCTCCCTACCACACATATCCCAAGTTCTACTCTGAACTTCCACGTTGCTCATCCTTATCTCCTCGAGGAATGCCGGGCCTCTCTAAGCATTATTACCCTCTATGCAACATTCAGGAGCTTCCTCGAAGGTTGCTCTGCAACTTCCCTATCTTAATATTCTCATTTCCCATCGATAACACGTGTGCTCAAGCTCCAGCAGGGATATCATTACTTGTTACATGTCTCCACATCCACGTGGACAATGGCCAGAGTTCAATCCTATTTGTGGCCCTCAAACATTTGAACACGTGGTAATAATAAAATAATTTTTTAGTGGATAAATCGCGTAAATAGAAACGTGTCGTTAACCCACACCAATTTGTCACGTAAACAAAACATGCCAATGAGTAACAACTTCAGCACACTGCTGTGTTGGAGAATAAACCCACAACATTTACAACAAAAACCTTCATTATGGCCCTGAGACATTGTCGCAAATTACCAACGGCGGTGGAATTTGTTATGAATTCGTATTTTAATCACCCGCCTATAGGTGTGTTTCAGTGTCATCCCCTCGATTATGTGGGCATTCTGCAGGCACTCTGGTTCACATAGAACCATGATACCCAGTGAGAATTTACCGCATTAATAAAGAAGTGGTATCATTTCTCCATGACTAATTGTAATAACAGTTTCCAGTTTTTAATCATTGGTGATTTCCATACTTTGAGGACAGCATTAAGACTAGGGCGGAGTGGTGGCACAGCGGTTAGCGCACTGTGTTTTGCACCCATTCATTGACCCGAGTTCGATTTCCAGCCACGGTGGTGAATGTTATCTGAACCGTTTGCTTTTGGCCCACCCCGACGCCAACCCGTACTGACCAGCATGGTGAAGTATGGTCCAACAACCCCATGACTGACACAGCATTGGGAGGCCTTCATTCAGCAGTGGATTGACAAAGGGTTGTAAGGAATTAGTCTTGTTGTCGACGTTATATTGATCAAACTTGTTGTCGATGTTACTACTGAATAAAACTTCAAACACGAGAGAACCCACTAAGATGTGCATCTGTTTTTCAGCGACACCCCGCGTGTTAGTTTCTTTCAAGAAATGGCAGTATGCTTCGTGGACACAATGTTCATTCGAGATGGTGAAATTTCATCTGCTTGTTAAGTGCTCTGTAAAAAAGTTATCGACGGTGATGCTGATGACGATGCTTCACACTCTGTGTGATGGTCTTTCGCCCTGCCTTTAACCATTGGTGCTCTTTTGAACCAGGTATCCCTTGAAAAAGAGATTTCTAGTCTCAATGGGCTCTCACCTGGCGTTAATAAAATATAAATGATGACGATACTACTGCGGAGGCTTTTGCGCTTTTGTGTCTGTGCTGTAGAGATCTCCGACGGGTTTTCGGGTTGAACTGCGTGTTGTTGCTCGGCGCGATGTCCGACGTTTCGCTCCACATGCTAGAGGACGCTTCCTACTCACCTCTACCAGGAGGAAATAGATTCAGTTCCTGAAGAAGCTTCCGGAGCGAAAAACGTCGGACATGATGCTGAGCAACACGCGGTACAACCCAAAGAACACGTGGGAGAGCTATTTAAGATGATGCTGCTGCTGCTGCTGATGATGATGATGACCTGATGTTGCTGGATGTAACAACTGACCTGCAAACTTGCATTTAACGCAGCTCCGTATCCCAGTCCGGTCTGCATAGATTTCACGAGTGAAGGGCTCCTGCACCAGAGACGCGCACGCAGACACACAAACAAACACGGCCGGAGATCGCACTCTGTAAATCAAGCGGGCCGCGTCTGAACGAGCTACGCGTTCCGACGCACACGCGCAGGAAGGGGCGCGATGGGAGTAAAGGCGCGAGAGCTTTATTAGGGGCGCACGCGCGCTCTTTAAATGCACATCGGCGCGATTGAACGGAGCCGGGCGATCGTTTGTGCTTTTCATTATCGCCGCCTGACACGCGGCGCGCACATGAATCTTGGAACGGCGCCGTTGTAAATTTGACAGGTGCATTAAATCCAATTGCATTTTTACAATCTGACAAGTAAATATGCAGTTTGTGCCATTGCGGGCTGGGAGGGGCGGCAATTATTTATTTCTTTCCATAACAAAACGCAGGCGGCACTTGTGGCGCACGCACGCACCCACGCACACACACACGTGCACGCACACACGCACGCACGCACGTGTGTGTGTGCCTGCGTGCGGGTGCCAGGGAACGAGGAGGGGGGGCTGGGTGGGGGGGTAAAAGGTGCGCATTTAGAGCCGAGCGACGCGCGATCAGGGGGCGCGTGCCGTTGGCGGCCCGTGCCTGGAAGTAATCCGACGCTCGCTCGAGCAATTGATTTTGATTGCAGAAATATTAATACGCGGCTGTACGGAATTAAGTGGGAACACGCTCTCGGGACACTCACGAATTGCCTTGTTAATAAACACCCAGAGCTCCGAGAGAGCATAGGAATCATCCGGGGAATAAATAAACTGCACCGCGCGTGAACAAACGCGCTCGTCCTAGCCGCGACAAAGACCGTCGCGGGCACAGGCGTGTGGCGCGGTGTGGCTGGCACCGTGCGCCACGAGCCACCTTTGTCTCCCCAGTGACGATGTCAATACACGTCAGGGAGCATCAATGTTAAGTCGGGTCGACTTGAAGGGAGGTACTGGCCAGGTTCAGACGCCAAGCGACGCACGTGCTGTTGATTACGGCCAGGAATTGTACCGGGGCGAGTGGAGATCGGTGCAGTGGGTGTTGTAGCGCCACACCGCCACCCCCACAACCACACAAACACAATGCGGATGTGCACACGTGGAAATAAGGCACATTTAATCGGGATTGGTTTTACATCGAATACAATTGAATATCAGTAACGCGTGCATCGCACGGTTGTATACGTTTAGCCGGTGTCATAGATTGTATATAGATTCCATGAGCCAATTTAAGTACGAAGACATATTCGGGGAAAATTATACATTTCCTGTATTCTTTCTTCAGTGTTTAGGCAGTTGTTGTTGTTTTTGTGCGCACGAACAGCGTGGTCTACATCCTTTTGGGATCCAACAGTACCACGCTTTTATAACTTCGGGCCCGTTCACTGACCTACCAGCTTGCTTTCCGGGGGTAAATCAATTGGAATTATTGTTATTATAATCAAATGGAAAATGTTCTGCGATAATAATAATAATTCAAGCAAGATGCCTGCATACTTGCCACAAGAGTTATTCCACCATATAAATATCTTACTCTGCTATACACATCTCTCTGTTGTAAGCCAATGTTGTTCATGTCAACGGTACTGGTGTGTATTCCAGCCAGTGTTTAAACAACAAACATCACTCTACGCCATGCCGCGATGTACTTGGCAGGCATCCGTGACAGTGGACAGTGATCCGAGGGCGTCTGTCACTGCCAACATCCCTCCTGTAACGTGCATAGCTCCAGTGGTTTCCTAATATTGGAAGAGCGTTCCATACGGCCGCAGAATCGCATCTAAAAGCACGCAATGCCGTCTTTGTTCTATAGCTTGCCAAAAGCAGGTGTCACCATTCGCACAAAAGCTACACAAAATAGATGAATGACTCGCTCGGTAAGTCAACTTCTACATCGCCACTCTCACCGTCTTCCAAGATCTTCCATAGACACACCATTGCATACCTCTCCCCTCTCATCTCACTCTACTCCCCTCCACGCACTCTCCTGCCTCTCCCCTCTCATCTCACTCTACTCCCCTCCACGCACTCTCCTACCTCTCCCCTCTCATCTCACTCTACTCCCCTCCACGCACTCTCCTACCTCTCCCCTCTCATCTCACCCTACTCTCCTCTGCTTGAGCGATTGATCGCTCCTTCTCCTCCACTGCTCCAATTGTTGAGAGCTGCATTCCCCCAGCCATCCATACCATCACCTCTCTGCCTCTATTTATTGCAGGACCATGGGGGGATGGGGGGGGGGGATGATGGGCAGTGTGACGCAGCGCCCCCCACTCACCCGGTCATTTTCTGCGGCCGTCGCTTCTGAAACTCCATCTCGTCCACGGTCCACACGGCGCCCTTCACGTTCTCCACTCGCACGAAGCACTTGTGCAGGCTCAGGTTGTGGCGCACGGCGTTCTGCAAGGCAAGCGCCACCACCGCTGGGCACGCGTCCACCGCACGCTCCTGCCGGCAGTTGCCGTGGTACGGCCGTAATACTACGATCGTCAAAGCCATTACTGTCATCGTCACAATTGGTCTTCGTCAATACCAACCCTCACAATGCTGCGAAGTGACAAGCCACCGAACACTGCCCGACACCTGCCCACGAGCTGCGAATCCGGTGGCCTGAGTTCGATCCCAAATATCGCAATCTGCCCTGGGCCACTCCAAGGTCGACTAAGCCTCAAATCAGTACCTGATTTGGTGTATAAACATCACCACTGGGGAGACAAAGGCAGACGGGCGTAGTGCTGGCCACCCACCCCCCCGTGTACCGTCTCGGCCTGAATAGGTGCTCGCTTTCAGCACTTTCCCCAACATAATGTTAAGGCTATACGGAGGGTCTTTGTCTTTGTATAACGTAGTAGGGAAGACGGGTTATTTAATAATTAGCTGGAGAGCCATCTAGGACGTCGTTCTTCATCGCAAGGCCCCCGCGGGCCACTGGCGGCCCCCCTGGTGGCCTTGAGCGCGGCCCCTGACGTGCGCCCCCCAACAATACACAGAAAGTAACAACACTTCCCACCACCATCATCATCGTCGTCTGTGTCGCAAGGGAGACCTCGGGGTGATGCAAAGGAAGAGGCTGGTGTAGGTTTGTCACCGAAAAACAATAACAATATAATGCAAAACTAAATTAAAAGATGAATAAATGCAGACAATGTAAACTGGCGCAACTTGTTTGAAAAAGTTGGGGCGAAAGAAACCCTTCAACATCGCGTACAATACATACAAAAATGAGATGCGTAATAAAACCATTTACATAAAAATAGCCCCTGCAGTCGGCCGTATTATTTATCAGCCTCCACAACAAATGCATTTGTGAATCTCACAGCTGTTCAATCCGCGATAATAAATAATTAAATGCTTCAGATTCTCGATTGCCTCGGGAGTGATTCAATTTTGTGATAGACGAATTAATGAGAAGAGCAATGACCGCTTGGGATCCCAATGCCACGGCCGAGCAACGGCCAGGGCAACGGCTTCGCAATGCAGAGGCCACCGGTTGGATTCCATCCCCTGGTGGCACAGCAGTTGCGGGTTTCTTAACCCCCCCCCCCACACACACACGCACCACCGCCTTTGCGTACACGGCATTATAAGTGGGTTCATTGCAGTTAGTCAATCAACAGGTCACGCGTGGTGGGGTAAAGTTTGAGTGATCCACCCCCTTCACGATGTCTGGCCTGATAATTGTTTTTTTACCCTTCTATCTGGCAACAAAACTGACACCTTTTTTACAAGGAGTTATGTTTGCATAGACCACAATACCTGCAGTCATAATGCAAACAAAAAACTGACTGCAGGTATTGTGGTCTATGCAAACATGACTCCTTGTAAAAAAGGTGTCAGTTTTGTTGCCAGATAGAAGGGTAAAAAAACAATTATCATATTTTTTACTGGCAAATGAGGTTCCAATGGTGATGTCTGGCCTCCCCAGATTTCCCTTTAGCCGAGGCCCTTCTGCCAGCGGTGGGGTAAGCAAGGCATTGCAGGGCTGCGTCTTTACCTTGACATTCGGTATGGGTGCTACAGGAAAGAAAAGGCGAAATCATTCCACGTGACTCCGAAGTTTCTTCTCGAGTGCTCGGGAGGCCTTCACGGCAGGCCCGTGGCTGCCAGTCTCCATCCTCCCCTTCTGCCCTCTGACCTCGTCTTCATTCCCGCAATCGCCCCCTCTTCCTCAGCTCCCCCAGCATCCCAATCCCTGGCCTGACTCTCATTCTCTTCCCTTCTACTTCGTATGTATGTATATACGTTGAACTTCTTTCGCACCATACGTAGCCAACCGTGCTAATCGGAGGTGTGGGGGAAAGGACAACAAACTAAACGCAAAAATCAGTTCGGAAGAAATGAGTTTTCAATCTAAATTTGGCTCCAGTGGCTTCCTAATATCGGAAGGAAGAGCGTTGATCATCATTAAAGCGTCCCCTCTAAAGGACGTGTCCATTCCAGTTCCTCTCTGATGACGCCCATCATGGTTCTTCTCTCGTTGACGACATTCAGGATGTATTAATTGGTCTTTCTCTCTGCCCAGCTGAGGTATCACTGGAATAGCTGCAGTATCTAGCATTAAATGTGCGTATTGACAAACGTTCTATATGCTGCTGGAACGTGACAATATTTGGAACCAAACGACATTTTTGCGAGGTTTTTTCGATAGATTTAGCAACTGGGTGATTCAGATTCGGCAACTCCGTTACGCTCTGTAAATTATAAACCCATTACGTTTTTACAACCGATCCATCCGTCTGTTACCGGCATTAATTAGTCGACCGCAATATCGAAGCCCTCGGCTATCTGAGGGATGTGATATATATTTTAAATCTGGGAATAACCCGAACAAATCGTCAAACTTCGGCGCTCAACAAAGCAGCGCTGGGCGCGAGGAATTCCACACGCGAGACAGCGGGAAGCGGCGGGGGGGGGGGGGGTGAATGGCAGATGCGTGGCGTTGTCTCCATATCTCACGAACACCTTCGTCAAAACGAGCTCCTTCCCTTCACACCGCGCGCTCCCCCCGCCACACCGCATCTTCCCAGCGCACCGCCGCCGCCGCCGCCGCTGCTGCCGCGTATCCGGCCTCGCATGGTAACGACACAGACTTGGGGGGGGGGGGGTGTCCATCTTTGATCTGCTCAGCTTGCCAAAATGACCTGTCTGGGGATTACAGTGCTTAACCGTTGATAAGAGCTTGTAATCTGGACTGCGGGCCAGGCTTAGCGTCATAAGCAATATACCATGCGCGGCTTAGCGTCTGACCTGGGAGAGAAACCAGACGCTGACCTTGCTTCAATAGCTCAAGGATATTCATTTGCATATAATATTTCATGAAACCTTTCAATATGCCACTTACAACCTGTGCAGGCTGCTTTGATGGGGGATGGAGCAGTGGGGGTGGTGCAGAGATGAGTGGGGGGGGCTGGTGGGGGGGGGGGGGGGCTGGTGGGGGGGGGGGGGAGCTGGTGGGGGGGGCTGGTGGGGGGGCGAAGCGACGTTCACAAAGATTGCAGCAAACCTTTTCTCTTCCACCTCCCCCCCCACCTCACCCCACCCCTCCCCTCCCCTCCCCCCCAAAGCCACCACCAACCACTGCATGGCCCCCCTTCCCCTAATGCCACACGATGCACGCGATGACACGTACAGTGTCTGCGTGCCATTCATCGGCAGCACTCAAACACACCGTGCCACCTTTCCCGCGATCATTTGCATATGTCAAGTTACCCCTTGGCTGCAAGCAAAAGTCTAACAAGGAAATAAATAAAGAAATATATATATATATACGAGTGAGGCTGAGTGGTTATTGCGTCTGACCTGGGTGTGAGTGACTTGATTGATCTGCTTGCCTGAGGCTTCTCGTGGTGACGAGCCCCATGCAAATGAGAGTCAGCTCACGGCCACTCGCGTTATTGCATATGCAAGTGGTGTGGCCGAGGCCTCGAGATTCGCGGAGCCAAAATGTGGCCAGAAGACTTGGCCCTGGGGGAACATCTGAATGTCATTTTTTTTAAGTCAAAGTATCACGGATCCATTGGCACCTCTGAACCAAAAGTGAAAATTCCACATTACCACGGAGAGCCAAATGCCCCTCCGCACAATCCAGCAAACCGCTGATCTACCAGTGACGTCGCATTCATTGCAACGATTTCGTAGAGGTGCTTGGCTGCATCGACCGCTAACGATGTGGTTAATTTCTTAAAACATTTACATTCTTGATTGCCAATTAGCGATGCAATTTGCGAAATTACCATCTTAATATAATGTACTTTCAGAGACTGAATGATACATCACCGGTCATGAATGGAAACCTCTGCGATTTGATGAGAGGCAATATAATTTATTTGCAACCAGACGAGGGGGGCCTTGGGAGACACTCTCTGTTTCGCGTGGGAGCCTCGGGCCTAAAGAGGCGTAGGGAAAACAACGCGAAGTGAAATTCGGTACAAAATAACCACCGCCTGGAATGAACCTACACATGTCAATAAACTAAACTATTTTTTTTATTTGACCAGGTAAGGCCCACTGAGCGATGTAGCTCTTTTTCAGAAGCGACCTGGCCACAAATGATAGCTCAATGAAGTGGCTTATCACGTGGAAACGTATCGCAACCAAATACTCTAAAAGCATATTTCTAAATGTGGAGGGAAAAACCGGAAGACCCAGAGAAAAATCCACTTGACCACGGGGAGAACATTCAAACTCCAAATATACAGCAGCAGGCGTCAGGGTCAGGATCGAACCCACGACCTCCTGTATACCAGGTGAGGTAGTTAACATCTCGCGACCAGCGCTGCTCTAAAGAGAAACTAAATAGAACAATAGGCAACATTTCAGGAAATGACCTTTGATCTCTCTTCTATGAAGACAGGACACTGGCATCAACACCACCTATGATATCTTTGTGACCTTTTTGCCATGATGAAAATTAAGGTTTTAACATAGGATGTATGTTTTCCTCTGGAGGGTCAGTGTAATGACCGATTGCGTTCAATTGCTGTTATTTGTCCAGAAGAGAGACATTCTCTCTTGAAAGCCTGCATTGCCTCTTCACAGCAAGGAGCCCAGCATATGCTCCTCTGCTGTGGCTGCGAGGTTTCCCAAGCACTCGGTTGACGCCTGCAGCTCAGCGGCATCACGATTCCCGGCGACCGACGTTCCCCCGGGAACGTCGGCTTGCCATCGTGCCAGACTCCGCTTTATAAAGGAACGAAAATGAAGATCTATTCTGATTCAGGGCGTGTTTCTACGCAGACATCCGGTCCCACCCCCTCCTTTGGTGGAGAGTCAAGTCTATCCCTGTCAAAGAATACAGATGTCTAATGAGTAACCTTACGAAGACTGTAATGCAAAATAAAAATAAACTCGCGTTGACACCGCCCAACAAATTCACTTCAATCTGTCCACACCGATGTCCC